GAGAGGCAGAGTGCCATTTTCCCAACATTTTTCTCGGTATCGATATGATTTACGTTTTTGATTGAGTAAATTGCTAAGCCACCCCTTTTTTATTCTTGACATCAGGGGGTACTTTATCGTTTTGAAATTGGGTAATGGTAGTAAGGATGAGGCTGGAAAACTCTTCAACTTCCTTTGAGGGTAAAGAGAATGATGGCTTCGAAGTATCGCATGTTGTAGCGTGGAAGAGACGAAGGGTATGATTTAAATCTCTCAAGTGTTTGGGTAGGTGTATCTCTGGTCCCAGTTCTGGCACTATATCGGGATGGCCTATCTGTGGTAACTGCGCTAGTGGGAGTTTGGAGAAAGGAGTCTCCACGATCCAGGCTGAAATAAGGGGTGCAACAGGTTCCGCAAGAATACCGCGGAACTTTCTGATCGACTTGTGAAGCTGGTGATGTGTACGCTGAGCGCTAGCTTTGAGAGCGAGTACGTTAATGTCTTTCCAGCTGGCAATCTGAACAAAGGTCTTGATCTCCTTATCAATCACCTCTCGTCGAGACTTTAACGTAGACTCGACTGTTGGTTGGAACTTTTGATGAATAGCCACAACTGCTCCGACAATAATCGATAAACGCCTCTCAAACGGTGTGCATGTAGTAGGTGTGCATACAATTATCGTTAAATATCTCTCGAACATGGCGAGAAGATGAAGGCGAGAGGAATATTGGCCTATCGGCGACGATAGCAAAAATCTTTCGAGCAGAGGAAGGAGTTTCTCAAAGAAAGTCGTCTGCTCTGTAGCCGTGTCCATCTTTTGACGAGTTGTATGCACGATGATTTCATAAATACGAAACCACCAATCAAAAAGGTCATTTGAGAAGGAGGATGCTTCGTTATCCAGTAAATGGGTCCAGCATACGAGCTCCATGCGCCTCCATTCTACAATTAGATTGCTGAGATCGGTTTGATGTACTAAGATACTATTCTCTCTATCGGCGAATTTTTGCCAATCTTCTGTTACGAGAAGAAGTTGTTCTATCGCTGAAAGCATCTTCGCAACGCTTGAATATAGGTCGATCTTCTTAATTGTTTGACAGCGTTCCAGTAAATGCTGCAGGACCATGTGTTCTGACCACTTTTCTGTGAGCTGCATCAAGCGATCACAGAGACGTGAGACCACCTCCAGAGCCTTGACCAGCTGGGGGACATTACTGTCGAGATAAAAGTTGTATCTTTGAGAAGGAGATGGTACCGTATTGAGACTCTGAAGTGCTTCATGAATAGATCCGAGTCGAAATTGGATCGTCTCTTCGTCTAGCCTGGTATCTAATCCTTCTTGCATTTTGTTGACGGCATTCATTAGAGTGGCCCGGAACATCTCATCGGGACCACGTGAACTTGATGTATCGAGGAAAGGGAGTTGGAGGAACATTCGATAGGGGGACACTGGTTTACTGGATAATGCAGACTGTTGAATTCCATTCTCGCTTTCTTCCATCACATCTCCATACTCTGGGAATAACTCGAGGAATTCGGCCGCTTCTATTTCTTGATCACTGAGGACCGTTGAAACTTCCTTCCGGCTTTTATAGATAGACGCCTTGTCCTTAGCCTCCTCTTCCCTCTTGTTTCTTTCTAGGAGCCAACACCCGAATAACTGCTCGAATGATCTTGATATACAGCTTCTATGGAGTTCCAGAGGATCTCCTTTGTGTATTCCCATGAGAGAGGAATAAAGACGGATGCTTGCCCATTCGATCGGAGTTATTTGTAAGGGTGGCTGAATATCACCATGGGATAATACTCTAGCTCCTACGGACCAAGGAAAAGATGTAATTGCCTCACAGAGTAAAGAAGATCGGGTCTCCATATCGGAAGGTGGTTTGGAACTGTGACGAAGAAGGCTCAAACCCAGCCGCATCCTATTGACCCAAGTAACAAAGGGGTCAATGATATCTCCGAAATCGGGATAATTTTCGCGAATTCTTTCGATGAAAGAGCGCCACGATTCCTGGATCATTTTCTCAGTCATAGCCCCTTTCGGGTCATGGTTTCTGAGTTGTGCAATCAGCCCGCTCATATGTTCGAAATCAACGAATTGGTCATGAAACTGAACGAGTTCAGTGGAAAGTGCCCTGAGCACTGCTTCTTCTCTCGTTTCAGGTAATACTGGGCGCTGTGGACTGAGGCCTTGCCTCAGTTCCTCGACATGGCGACTCATCTGGGAGATTAGGGGACTGTCTGAGCCACCTGATCGTATGAGCTCCATTTGTCGATGAAGGAATAACTCCTCCTCTAGATCTTCAATTCGAGTCTCGACTCGTTGATACTGACTGAAGGCGACTGCTTGGGGGTCCAGAGGAAAATTAGGGACATACAGATGTACCATAATCATTCCAGAAAAGAACCACCCAGTTCCTAGCGCTATCATTGTATCCAATGTGGAAGAAGAATCAAAGAGGCGAGCCGCAGAGAGGCAGAGTGCCATTTTCCCAACATTTTTCTCGGTATCGATATGATTTACGAGCCATTGGAAATCAGAATTATTAGGATTCGTGGTGAATCTGGCCAATATCTCTGAATAACTTGGAGCTGAGATAGCAGAGCCAATGGTCTTGAACATCTAGAGGCAACAATGTTATCAAGTATTCAGGATTTTAAGAAAATTCTAACCAGTTTTATATCACCGAAAAACATGCAACGAAGTTGCTCAGCTCGGTACCTTTTCTCCAGTCCACTCTCCAGAACCACAGCGGCGAGTGAATGGCGCAAATGGGTGGCATAATGAGCAACTGAGCCTATTTCTTTTCTCCCATAGAGACTAATAAAAAGGTGAGACATGTATAGTAACATTCGGAGTAACATACCATAAATTCAATGTTGACAGCAAGCTCGTGGGTTTGACCAGGTCTGCAGCGCCCTTTATTCTGGTTAGTCTCAAGTTTCTTTCTATCGAATTGTTCAGGAGGAGATAATTCTCCTCCTACTAACCTCTATG